GTAACCATCAACATGATGCAATCTTGTGACGAGGATTTCATGTGTCTATCGTTGCATCCAGACCAGAAGCGTTAATATCTGAGGCCCCAGCGCTCATACCACCGCCCCAGTCCATGACCAGGACTGTACAACAAGAGTTGTGTTGAGGGCTCACAGGGGCAATGTAGAGGCCTGTATATGCAGTACAACTGTCTCGCATATAGGTCAACCTACGAGACAATCCACTTGCAATAGCATTTGGATCATTTTCATGTGGTATTGTAGGGTGTTGATTCTTACTTCACTGTGTTTCTGGTCCATGTTGTGCCTACGACGCCTAAGTATCTAGACCACAAACCCTTGCAGCCTAAATCCCATACTCCCCGCCCTGAATGCTGCTTGGATCCTTGCCATTGAAGTCCTATGCTCAGGCCTGTTTGCATGAAGGCATGCAGTTTCAGAGCTCTGAACCCCACTGAAGGTTCGAGCTTCAGCATCTTAAGTAGCAAAAAGTCAACATGATTTTCAAATGTTCGGACCAGTCCTCCACCAAATCCTAAGCTGTGAACCCCACTCGCTCAAGCACATGGATTTTTTCAAAGGACTATGGCCTTTGGGGTTTCATGTTTGTAGGGGAGAGGAAAAGGCGCGGGTTTTCTGCGCTCGGGATGCTCACCCCTGACTGATTTGGATACCTGCATGTTTTCTTGTTTCCAGGCTGACACTCGTACTCCTATATTTCTGCTGCTGCTCCTGCTGGTCTCTTTGTTACGGTATTGCGCAAGTGGATTTTTCAGATGTTGTGATTTTGCTTGGCTTTGCTGGGGGCTTTGAGTGGTTTTGGAGCTTTTTGCTGTCGCCATCGCTGTTCTCGCTGCACCAGCTGTCGGCAGCTTCCTGTGTCTCCGCAATGTCGCTGCAGCTGTTTGCTGCAAAATCTTACCTCAGATGCTTGCGGCTCGTATAGTTCAAAGAGCTCACACTGCTGTTGTTGCATGCAGAGTTTTGCGGCAGGAGACCTGGCAAACTCGAGGCCAGAGCATCCCACAAATCCATGACCAGTGAAGAGTTTTGGATAGCGGATAGCGAAGGGGGTAGAGGGCAAGCGATGATGACAAGATGCAAAGCGCGTGCTGGTTGCAGTTGTTGTTTCTTGCTTGCTTTGTACTATATGAAGCAACGAAAATTACCAGCAGTAGCAACAGTTGCAGCAAGAACCCCAAGGTTTCAAGATCAATGCTGGCAGGAGCGAGTGCTCACATCGAAGAGCTAAAGCATGGGCTTCCATTGTTCCCGAAGTTTCATAGGAGTCCCCAAGTACAGCAGCTAGGTTCTGTTTGAGTGATAACAACACACGGCAGCGAAACCTGCGTTTATCATAAGGGTCGAAATGCTCTCAGCACGAGATGGGGATCCTAGGGATTTGTGGAGATGAGACAGACTCTCGTCAGGTAGGAGTTGATCGTGGTTGGCATTGCTACGCACGTCTTGATGAAGCACCGAATCTCACATCTCCAGCCTTCTAAGCTCGATATCCCACCCTACGCGCCCAACCCAATCCCAGAACTCCAACAACTACCAAGTCCTTAGCGCACAGAAAGAGGTACACAAGCTTACAGCAGACTTGCCGAGCCCTGCGTTGAGGCAATTGACACAGGGTGAAGCGTAAAGCTAGGGTGTCACGATTTTTGAGTGAGGTCAATGGGTTTAGGGATTAAGGTTCGAGGTTAGGGCCTGGGATCAGGGATTTAGGGAGCTGCAGCCAGGGTGGAGGGATGATGTCTGGAAGTATAGCAGAGATCCGAGATTTCTGGAAGGATTGCTTTGCGTGTGAAAGTTGTAGATCCCTTTTCGGTGAAGTCCTTCGCTCAGCTTGCAGACGAGGGTGTTGTTGAAACTGTCATTTTCCAGATGGAAAAGCATGTTTTTTTCAATCCGAGAGGTTCTGTCTTCAAAGGAGCGGAAGCCTTTGAGCATGTGGCAAAGTCAGTATCTTTATGCCATTTGTTGTGATCAGTGCATTCCCACATCACAATAATTTTTCTAAATTGACACATGCAGAAGTCAAAGGTGGGGTGCCCGGGCAGGGAAGTTGACTCTCCTTTACTGTTTCCTGATTTGGCTTTGCCCAGCACTTTCAGGAGTGTGGTCGCAAACGTAGGATTTCTGTGCTTGTGTCCGTGGTTCTGGCTTTCAAGCTGTCGTCCACTTCTTAAGGCAATTAAGGAGGTGCCGCGAGGCGAGCTTACATACATCAGTTCCATACATACATGCAACAACCTTGTTTTCAATGTGTAGGCATTTTGTAAACTTGGGCTCAATGTGGTAGCATGCTCTAAGATCCTGGCAAGCAGGATTATCAGAGCCTGGTCCCACAACTCCTTGAAATTTGTGAACTTTCCCAACAATATCAGGCTAGAGTTTTAAATGACAATGGCCTTCCATTTTGCAGCCTAGCGAGAGGCAAACGTTGGATGACTTCGTTGGGTCGATGCTGGGTGGCGTCCCGTGGCCAAAAGCAATTCGTGTTGGACATGGACTTGTGATCTGAAGCCAGAGTGATGTATGGCAGGGTTGCGTTATAGAGACTCAGCAATCATCTGTCCTTGTCCCATTTTTTCCAAACGGTTCTAGTCGTTGTAGGTATTTCTGCATGCCACCAAGATCTACACCGGTGGTGTGGTCGAAATTCTATTCGCTTCTTTGTGTCAAGCATCTTTCCATTCCAGCGTGTTTCTCCTCCACCTCGATGCTGAGTGGTTGAGTTTCCTTGTGTTTGTGACTCTTTTTCCAGCAGGCAAGTGGCTGGCCATCGGAAGACACATGCCATTTCGTGCAAGCAGGAATTTATTCCAGAACCCTGCGTAGCGGCCATGGCCGATACCAGGGATGGTGAGTGCAAGAAGTCTGGGATTGGAGGAAGGTGGGTGAAGGGAGGGGGAGAAGAAAGGCTGCAAAAGATGCAACATTGCAGTACCCATGCCTCTTATAAGAACAAGCTCGCAAGATGGGTTGGGGGCTAACTTTCCATTGTACCTATAGACCCCCATGTTATCCCTCAATTTCCGTGTCTTCAGGCATCGCCTGCGAACAGCGCGGAGGTGCCGCTACTGTCAGCCAAGCTGGCCTCGGTCGGACTCGGGGCCGAGGCCGTGTCTAACATCTTTATAGGGTACAGTATATGGGGGGTATTATAGTGGGTAGATAGGGGTGTTATAGGGGGTATATAGGGGGCATCGTAGAGGGCATTATGGGGGGTATATGGGGGGTACATGTAGGGGTATTGTAGGGGGTATAAAGGGGGTACTATTGAGGTATACAGGGACCTAGGGATGTCTATGGGTTATAAAGCTATATAGGCGTCTACAGGGCTCGGTAGGGGTATTATGGGGATATTTAGGGGTATGTAGGGGTATCTAAGAGTCTAACGGAGAATGAAATGGAAAAGAAAATGGAAAGCGTAATGGAAGCTGGGTGTATGATTTCTACTGTAGGAACTTAAGTTTTAGATAAGAACAGGGTGGTTGGCATTTTATACCATCAACATGTCAGCCACTTGGTGTCCGCGGCTAACAAAGCCAGGCTGGGAGGGTTCAGGGCCGATAGACTGGATTTCAGAATTTTCGGACTCGTAATTCGAGCTCAATTTTGTTTGTTATCCATCCTTTGGAATACAGCCAAAAACACTTGCTTGAGGCAGTTTCTGGACCAAACTCTTGGGCTCAGTGGAAGTGGACACAACTAATCAAGCCGTAGTGTTCTCTAAAGCGTCCAGTTGGTTTTTTGGGCATCTGCGAGGATTATATTCATCCAGGTTTACATAATCAGGTATCGGGGATAACATAGCATTCTACCCACAGAAGTCCCCCAAGACCATGTTTATGACTCGGCTTGGTGTAGGGGGAGGGCACGGTGCCCAGCTCATCGCTGAACCCCGAAATCGCGATCTGTGAGCCCTAAACCCTAAACCGTGAACCCTAAACTTCTACACCCTGAGCCATCTGGCCCCCTGCAGGGTTATGCCCTCAACGTGACCAGTGCTGGCGTGCTTCTTGCAGCTGCCTCCTGCCCGCATTGGTTACCGTAGTAGGAGTAGGAATTTGATCGGTCAAGCTTTCTCATTGGGCCATGATGCCTACAGGCAAAGTTGCAAGCAAAGTTGACCTGAGAGTAGGATGTCGGCGTGACTATCTGGAGCTTATTGGGCAGGGATCCGGTGAGCCTGCGTTTTCTACAGTGCCTGACGGGTAGTACAGTATGCAGGGGCTGAAGGACATGCACAACACGCCATTTCAACCCCAGCTCCTCAGTCTTTCTTGTTGTTAGGGTTCAGGTTTTAGGGTTTGGGGTATGTCGAAGTCCCCAATTCTTTGAAGATTAGGGAGGGGAAGCCTGTATAACGCACCCAGTGTTTGAAGTTGATGAGTCTACCTCCCAAAGTCAAGCCAAATGCTCAGTCCAGGGGAACATAGAAAGTAGGTCGGGATTATGGGAACATCGAGGCATAATTTAGGGTCAGAAAGGGATAATGGAAAAGACAATGCAAACTACCGTTCAGGATTTAGGGTGAATAATAGGTGGAGCTGGAGTTCTTATGTGGTTTATAGATGTGATGAGTCTATCAACTAAGTCCCGCTGACCCTCCAGGCAGGGTCTCCATCACCATAGGATCCCTAAGATGAAAAGTTTCAGTCGGTCTTGAATGTGCCAAATTGACAGTCGTTGTTTGAGACCAGGGCAGGCACATGACTCCTTTGGCTTCTAAGCAGCAACCTCATCAACGCTTTTGCTGTGCGCGAGCGTCTCATGCAAGTTGGTGTTTTGTTGTGTGGCAAGACCTGAATACCCACATACTGTAGACAGGCACGTCAACATCGAGACCCGACAAGGCCTCCAAAGCTCTGCAAAAGTATCCAACACATGAGCAGGATACTCAATCCCCGAGAGGACATATCAGTTTGGCACATACTCAGGGAGAACAAAGTTCTGAGGATACAGAGCATGGTCTTTTTAACGGCATCATGACGCTGCGGCAGCTGTTCCAGAAATCCAACGGCACGTGGCGACTGCCATTGGTGACCTGCCAGCCAAGTCGAGATTTTTTAATGCGAGTCTTTTCAGGGCTATACAGTGGTGTTGTTGGGGGTTGTGTTGGATTTGCTGTAAAGTTTACCAGGGCTGTTGTGTTTTTGATAGCATTTTTTGGTCTGAACCTTTAAGCCTAAGCCCTCAGCCCAATCGCAAGCCAAAATCCTAAACCTTTAGCCCTGAAGCCTAAACCTTAAAGCAGAACTCCAGTTCTTATTGGCAGTCAGAGGTTAGCATTCGTGATCAGCCTGCCTTTCAGTGGCGTGGGCTCATGCTGGATGTTAGCCGCCATTTCTTTTTCCCCAAGGACCGCATGTTTTGACTACTTTTGGATTTGGTTCCAGCCCCATATAACCATTGCACCATCCAGACCCACAATTGCGTCAACTCCAAAATAGCCCAAAACCTAAAACCCCAACTGCAAAACCCCAAACCCAAAACCCCAAGCCCGTAGGAGGTAAAGCATCTTCTCAAGACCATGGCCTTGCCGCTTAGCTGCATGGATTTGTAGGGTTTCATGAGCTACTGTCAATATTAGCCCTAGTAAGGGACCCTTAAACAGTGGACATGAAGGTCCCTATTGTAGTGCAGTATAGTTCCAAATGTAGTCCTTAAAAAGAAGCCCATGTCCATTAAGTCATGGAGGAGATATTGACTGTAACCATATGGGTTAAAACAGGGTGGCTACAGAGGAATGCTGGCCTTAATATTTTGTTGGGGAAGCCCAGGTGCTGTTACATCTTGATTTCCAAACGTTAGCGAGGGGGTCCATTCCGTGGGGCCCCGCTACAACAAGGATCAGCGCGACTTTTTGGCATATGCCAGCGCCACTGTTTTTCCGAACGCCACCATCAAAAATCAGCACGGCTGACAAGCAGTCATCACCACCAACAGGTTGTGGTTGAAGCCATTTCGTCTGAAGCCTCTGGTTGCTAAATCTACATACTTTCTTTGTCATCACCCATCTTAGGTCCGGAGCTTGTAATGCAAAACTGCCGAGGTTCAAGATGAACCATTTTCATTGGCACCTTACGGATGACCAGGGCTGGCGCTTTCCTGTAGAGAAGCTGCTCGCAGACAATACAGGTAGTTTTTAGCGGGAGACATGAGATTTGCGTTGTTTGGCACGTTCTTCAGGATTTTCGTGACGTGGTCACATCGAAGGTCTAGCACATGCAGAGTTTTGTTGGAGAACCGGTCACCAGTTTAGCTAGGAAGCTTCTGAAGTTGTGCACCAAAAAGAGCTGTGTTTGTGTTGGGGCTCTGTAAAATGTATTGTTTACGAATGTCTGGCTTAGGACTGAAGTCCCCACGAAAGATCACAGCATACCTTGCAGGCCCAGAACATGAGGAACCAGGACAGGGGACTCGCAGGTCTGAAATCTGAAATCTTGGTGTTTACCAGCTGGACACATGTGCATAGCTGCAGTTAAAAACAAGGAATCATGCTCATGCTGGTCAGAACAGTAGTGTGCTTTAATGCCGCACATGGACCAAGTCAACCAAAATGGGTCAGTATTCGTGGAACATGGTATTTCGAAAGTTTTTAATGCTAGCTCCCAACAAGGATTATGGACATTCTTGTCTTAAGTAGTATCCCAACTAGGACCCTGAACATCTCAATGCAAGGTATCCGAAGCTCATTTCGCTGGGCGCTTCGCGGAGAGCGACACAGAAGGCGAGGAGTGTGAGGAGTGTCGCGGTTTAGGTGTGAGGGATATTGCTTTAAGAGAATCAGATGGCAAACAGATTGGAAGCTACCATTTTTAGGGCAATATAGGAAGTATATGGCAATTTCCATAAAAAGTGGGCCCTAACATAAACACCTCTCCAATATGTGAGAATTCTCAGTAGGATCCCAGACAGGGATCCCTACTTATTAGAATCCCCCATAGATCACCTTGGTTCTTTCAAGAGACAACTTTCGAGACAGAGCAATTTTTCGGATTGTTTCGAGACCATGATAAAGTTGCTCAGGGGGTTGACGTACTAGGTTACGCTGTTGAAAAGCCTTCAATCACAAGCACTTTCTGACAGTCCGCAGTGCAGGGTTAATTTCAGAAAGGTCTAATGCAGAAGGATTAGGGATGCCCATCTGATTCGAGGTAGATTCTTGACTCAAAGGTCAAAGGTATGTTCCGTGGTGTTGGCCCTTTGCCTTTGCCCTTCTTTAGCTGCAGCGTTGCGTGATTGGAGGCCCAACAAGATCTCCTTCACAGGGCTTTAGAAGCGGATATGTAAATATGTATGTAGATATATTTCTACACATTTGGTAACCCCCCGCGAAACCCACCATGGAACCTTGCATCGAAAATGGAATCTTTCAATTCCAAATCTAAATCTTCAAATATTTGCTTGAAACGCGTTCATTTGGGTGCCCAAGTGGAAGATTGCAGACGGAAGACTCTCAGAAAAGCTTTCTTGCTATTCGCAATTTCCAAATACATGTATTGAAATCGATCTTAAGGCATCTCTTTTTGCACCTGCAGGGCCACACATCCGACACAGATGACCAGCCATACAACCATTCCTACACAGTGGAGGACAAGCGCGCGAAAGTTTTGAGGCTTGGGGTTGTTTTGTGTACCTTCTGGGTGGGCTTTATGGGGACTGCATGGCAGAGGTAGCCCAATTTATAGGTATGATGCAGGAACCACTGACTGGTGTTGGAACTCAGGCTGTCCTCGTAGGATGTCGCATGCCATCCTCAGATGAACACACCATGTTTGAGTAGATACAATCATGATAATTTCTGCCTCTTAGGGAGCTGTGAATCAGCATCCTTTCTCTGGGTTATCCAGATGTCTTGGGGTCTACAAATTGACAGAGACCCTTGGTAGGTCATGCAGCAAAGCTCTAGCTATCAGCCTTTGTATGATTCGGCTTTACGGTTTCTATGGCGCCTAGACGAATTCCGATTTGATCTCTAAATTTTCAGGATATCCGCCTGGCCTACAATCTCAAGAAAAGAGACCCTAGCTACGAGAATCTCTTTCACAGAGTGCTCCGTGCAGTTCTCACTTGGTAGACGTACCCGCCCTTGAGGAAGAGTGGGGGAGTGGATGCTTAGAATAGTCCCTATATAGCCCCCTATCATAGAACCTTTCTTCTCTGCTCCAATTAGACAGCAGCACGGACAAGGTGGTTTTGGAGGGAACGCTCGAAGGAGAACGCAATTATATTATGCCTTACACAGATTCAGAGTTAACATAGAATGATCAAAGCTCCCCTACCTGAACCCCAAATCCTGACCCGTAAACGGAAGACCTGCTCCAGTGCACATCTTCAAGTCTACTTATAATATGGCGAATGCATGGTGACCTCCCTGCGAATTCGCAACACGCATCTTAAGTACCAGAATGATATGGGGAATCCTAAAATTAGGGGTACTTTTTTTCGAAGGCTCCATAATAAGGATTATAGAGTATTGGGGGCTACATTGGTATCCCCCTTTTTTTGGAAAGCCCCCCTTTCATGAAAGGAGATTGAGGACATCCTCAGCCTGGCAGAATCCCTCCACATCGAGGCAAAGGGATTCTGCAAAGTGGCCAAAGAGCATTTTAGCAGCCGTCCCGGTGGTGTTCTAGTAGCCATTTTTGTCTGGCCCCTAGACTCCTACACCAACAAAGCCTCAAGCCCTTAAGCCCTAAACTCCAAGCCCTTCTCTCTTGAATCTGAATGTAAAACTCAAAAGTTGCTTGGCCCACACTCTGGGTCTCAACATTTTTTCCGAAAGCTGTTACCGCACCTCCTTCCGCATGTAGGCCTTCTTCATAAAGGACCCCCGCAAAAGAGCACAGTATATGTCCCCATAGTACCATGGTAGAATGCGGTGAAACTACTAGTACTACTACTGCTACTACTACCTACTACTACTATGACGACGACTACTACAAGTACTGCCTTTTTTTGTATCAGTAGCATGATACTGTTACTTTTATGGTTGATTGTATTGCTAGGGGCTACGTCTGTCCAGGTGATGCCTGAGTTCGATCTGCCTGGCCACAACCAGGCCGCTTAGTTTATGCTGCAACTATATTGAAGCCCACCTCATTTTTGTATATGTCGGGATTATGCTATCCTAATTTGAGTTTGTCAACCCCCTAGGGTTCATTTTCGAATTGCTTTTCCATTGGATTTTCCACTATGGTATCTGAACCCTAGATCGATTTATAACAATTTTTGGATTAAGGTCTTAGCAGTCCTGGGGCTGGATGTAGTTGACGGATTGAAGGGAGGTCGACAGAGCACCAGCCTTTTGCCTCTTGAGAAAGTGGGCTGTCAAGTCTAGGGACTGCGATGCTGTTTGAAGGGATCTGGTCGGGGCAACGTCCTGGGTAGCACAGTTGTCCGCCACTTCTCGTGAAACATCAAGCTTTTATCTGACCTGGTTGTAGTGACTCTCTGCCATGGCCCTGGCTGGTGATTCAGGGTTTAATGCAGTATTGCGAGAAGCCTAGCCTTCCCCACAAACAACATGGAACCTGAAGGGGGCTTCTTGCAGACGTTCTGCTTCCTTCTGTTGTCTTTTTGACTAGAATCATAGAGCGTCAAATGAAGCCGAAGCCCTACAGTCTCTGCATAATTCTCAGCACGGAGTTTAGGCGCGCGCATAGGCAAGTGTCTGGGGTCACCCTAAACAGGTGGCCCCAAGATACACCCCGATGTCTTAAAATCCTCCCAAGAAGGGACCCCTTTTTGTTTTGCAAGCCCTAGCGGTCAAAATTGGCATTATTCAGGGACCCTGTCTAGTAGAGTCCCTCATATATTCCCTGATAAGGACATCATGTCCATTAATTTTCCGGAGAATTCTTTACCGTAGCTCATATCATCCCAGTTTCCATTTCATTTTCCATTCTCTGCCCATGTGATTCTCCATCACTGAGGTAGTAGAAATTCTCCAAGCATCCTATGTACCTCTCTAAGTCTGCTATTAACCCCTTTACAGTGACACCCCTACAAACCTAACTTTAACACCTTCTTTTGGTGCAAGAGTTCCCGGAAGGCTGCGATTGCCTCCTACCCTGAGATGGGCATCCTGATGGCGATAGTTGGATCTTCTGGTGTTTTTCTAAAGGGCTTTGAATGGGAACAGATAGGAGTATCTAGGGATATCTGAGAGTATATATAGAGATAGGGGTGTTTAAGGGTATACAGGGATATCTCGCGATTGTTCTTGGATAGCAGCCCAATACTGAGAATCAAATGGACAAGAACATGTGGAAAAGTACATGGAAACTCGGGTTGTGTAGTGGTTCATAGGGCTGTAGGGATTTGGTAATTGATATTCAATGCCTGATCGGTAGCATCCATGGACATGGTTAGAGTGATCCTCTTTGCGAGCATTCCATGAAGAGTAGCGTGAAAATACCAGGCTTCCAGGAACAGTAGGGGTTGTACAGGAACCTAGGCCACGGCCATTTAAAGCTGATGTTTGGGCTGCCCATGCATGTTTCAGACCCTCCTTCTGAAAATTGTATGTGGATGATGTGGCGCATATGGGCAGGCTAAATGGGTTGTTCCCCCGAGAATGGAGAATGAAATGTAAAAATACATGGACAACACAATGTAAACTGCAACGCAGATGATTCACTCGCGCCAAGCAGTTGTGTCGGCTAGTCAAACCACGCCACCTTTCCATTATGACTGGACCCTCGAAAGACTTGGGCCTTGCCGACACGCATGGTTGCTCAACAGCCGACTGCTAAAGCCTTTGTAAGAAATCGTATATTCTAGGCTGTAGACAAGTAAAGGGCTGCATTAAGCAGGACAACCTCCAACCGCACAGACCTAAACCGCAAGCCTTTACAACTGAAAGCCCTTGCTCCCAAACAGTGCGCCCGACGACTCTTTGCAGCTCAGGCAACGCAGACATGCAGGGAGACTGGCATCCTCAAGTGGCTACTCAGCCCTTTGTACGCAGATAGCAGCTCGTGGGGATTCGCAGAACAAGAAGCTCTAGCCCATGAAAGTGGCCTTAGTATCTACAAAACCTATTGGGAGTTTCTTTTTGTTTCTTTGAAGGTATTACTCACTGTGGAACTTGGGAAGGGTGTTGTTTTCTATCCCTAAGCGCTCAGAGCCCTTGACCAGGACC